AACAAATTATATTAAAAACATGTTTAGTTTCTTCTAATAAGTCTAAAAGTTTTTCAAAATTGCTATTTAGGCTTCTTATATTGAGGTGGAGAATTAACATTTGATTATTAATTCTTTCATGCTCATTCTTAAAAAGAAATCCTTCTAGTTGGCTAGGAAAGTAATATGAACAATCTGAAAATTTATTGTGATAAATATTGTTATCAGAGTCTAAGTTTTCATTTAACGTAGAGTAATTTGTTTTTTGAATTTTAAAAACACGAGATTCAAAGTTTTCATTTGTAGCCATGATTAATATATTTTATTTAAGATTTCTTTTTAGGAATGTCCATAAAATTATTCGTTAAAATTGCTTTTAAAAGAAGTTTTAATATAAACAATTTTGTCATACCTTACCGTAACACTTTCACCATTCAATCGCCTTTCTTTCACTTCAGCGAACAATTTTTTTCGAATAGCGACGGTTTCTCGAGAAAAATCTTCGTTCACGAACGTATTTGTGCCTTTAAGTCGATACAATTCCTTCAATATTCTTATTTTGTCTTTATATTTCTGCAGATTTAATATTATAGTCCTTGGTCATCCATCGTTTTTTCGTCCAGTGCGGTGAGCTCTTTCAATTTCAACATCTTTTAGTCCAAGTTTTTCGGTGAAGAATGTTTGGACTTTTTTTTTCAGTATCCCCCTATGATTCTTTATCATTCTCGTAAATTCTTTCAATCCTAAGATTGTTTCGGCGTGATCGATCTTCTAAGTTTCGTTGATTTTCTTTTAATACATTATCTATTTTTGTAAGTTCCATTTTTTTATCTAGATATTTGTTGTTAGTAACTATTTTTTCATTTACAATGTTCTTATAAACATTAGCGAGTAATACGCAGTGGATGGAATAGCAGTTATAGGCCTTTTCACAGAGCACCGCAGAAAAGTATTTAAGATGAAGTTTACGCCACATGCCTAACTGATGTGGTAAAATTTTCCCAGAGATGGATTTTAAACCCGGATCATTAAACATGTTTATTTTGTAAAAGCTTGACTAGCCGTTGTTCTGCCACTTTTGACTTTTATTGCAAGATGTTTGTAAGCATTTTGGAAGTGAAACTTCAAGAGAGCTTTTTTAAGATTTATTTCCACACGAGTCGCCAATTATTATTGATAATTTAAATATAAAGTTAGAAGTGAAATTTGTGAAACGCTGAAAATTAAAAAACTATTATAAAATGCGCAAATATCTTTATTTTTATTTGTTTGATATTTAGTTTTGCGATAAGTGTCCTCTTTTGCGCAATACCTGCTTTGTGGTACTGTTACTCTATTAAAAGACACAAAAGTATTGGTTAAAATTATTCTCAAAATACTTCCTCGTATAGATAAATTTTTATCCTAAAAAAGAAATAACGTTTTTTCAAACGGTATTTCTTTATCTGTTTTAGCCCACGCTTATAAAAATCAATAAGAAATTTAAAATTTTTAAAAATTTAAGTACAAACTGGTAAAACTACAAATCGAATTGTTATCAGAAAAAGGGATTTGGTTGAAATTTAAAAAGGTTGTAAGGAATTAAAATGAAAAAGGATGAAACTTATTTTAATAATATTTTTATCTACCTTACGGAAAAGATACATCCACACTCTGTTACAAAGATTAAAAAACGCAACCTTAGGGAACTATCACGAAGTTACACTGTAAAATGTACACACACACACACACACAAATCCCCCTCCCCCTCCACACACACACATATATATATATATATATATATATATATATATATATATATATATATATATATATATATATATATATATATATATATATATATTTATATATATATATATTTATATAAATTTAAATATATATATGTATGTATGTATGTATATATATATATATATATATATATATATATATATATATATATATATATATATATATATATATATATATTTATATATACATATTTATACATATATATATACATACATATATATATACATATGTATATATATGTATATGTATATATATATATATATATATATATATATATATATATATATATATATATATATATATATATATATATATATATATATATATATATATATATATATATATATACATACGTACACACATACATATATATAAAATAAAGACGTGTATTATTGTATAAATACACACACACACACATATATATATTTGTATATATAAATATATTCGTAAATAGTTATAACAGTAAAAACAAATTTTTATATTTTATAAAAAGTTAAAGCAGTGACCAGAAAAATATCATAAATATAGAACATATTTATCTGAAGTTTTAAAAAAAAAAATTATTGAAATCCTACAGTCAGATTTTAAGAAAATTGATTTCAAATAAATAAACAAATCTATGAGTTACACTAAAAAGTTGTTATTTGAATATTATGTTCAAGTACTCTAAAATATTTTTTTTTCCTTTTTTTATTTATATTTTTGTAATAATGTAATGATCTACATAAAAATAAGGCTACAACAGTGAGTTTTTAGAGATTAAATAACAAATAACAAGGGTTGAATTAACGCATCGCGATTTGCGATATTTGTTAAATTATCTGGTCTTCAAAGTTTCAGTTTATGGAAAACCACGTAATTTACGGAATAGGCGAATTAACTTTAATTTGTTAGTGAAAATGTTATGAAAAACAAAACAATAAATTTATAACTACAAAAGTAATAATATTACAGTGTTGTTACTTTTATAACACTCTTTTATGTTACATTTATAGTTTATTGTTTGATCAAACAACGCATAATCAAGATATTATAAATAAAAATGATTTAGTTAAGTAATTTCAAACTTTAATTAAAGTAGTAATGCATCTTGAAAAAATACAATGGATATTTAAACAATGTTAAAAGCCTTAGCAACTTTTACGAATACATATTTTTATAAACAGTTTAGCATTTCTAAGCATCTTACTAACGGTCCGGAAAAAACGCGCGTTCACTTTAAAATCAACCAATGAAAACACTGATAATTTACTTCTTAGGAGAAATCTATATTAAAAGGGGAGGGGGGAGGAGGCTATAAACTTAAATTTTGTTTTATTATTTAATCAATTAAATCATAATAAAAGTAAAGACAAAAAAATATATTTCTAAATATACTTCTTTATAACTAAAATTTATTAAATTGAACACCTCTGTTTTTAGTTTTAAGTAAATGTCAGTACTACTCTCAGTGGCGAAACTGCAGTGGGGGGGGGGGGGGTAGCAGACAAAAAGTGTCCTATTTTTAAGCTAGTTTTAGAATGTATAAAATGGGAGGAGGAAATAATAAAAAAAAGCGGAAGGATTTACAATGAAAGTTTTATTATTTATCGGTTACCAATAGATTTTAAAATTAGTTTAAAATCAGGACACTTTTTGTCTGTTAACCAAAGCCCCTCCGCCCCCTCCCCCGCAGTTTCGCCACTGAGAGTAGTACTGACATTTACTTAAAACTAAAAACAGAGGTGTTCAATTTAATAAATTTTAGTTATAAAGAAGTATATTTAGAAATATATTTTTTTGTCTTTACTTTTATTATGATTTAATTGATTAAATAATAAAACAAAATTTAAGTTTAAAGCCTCCTCCCCCCCTCCCCTTTTAATATAGATTTCTCCTAAGAAGTAAATTACCAGTGTTTTTATTGATTGATTTTAAAATGAACGCGCGGTTTTTCCGGACCGTTAGTAAGATGTTTAAAAATGCTGTTTATAAAAAGTAAGATGTTTAAAAAAACTGTTTATAAAAATATGTATTCGTAAAAGTTGCTGAGGTTTTTAAAATTGTTTAAATATCCATTGTATTTTTCAAGATGCATTACTACTTTAATTAAAGCTTGGAATTACTTAACTAAATCATTTTTATTTATAATATCTTGATTATGTGTTGTTTGATCAAACAATGAACTATAAATGTAACATAAAAGAGTGTTTTAAAAGTAACAACACTGTAGCATTATTTCTTTTGTAGTCATAAATTTATTGTTTTGTTTTTCATAACATTTTCACTAACAAATTAAAGTTTATTCGCCTATTCCGTAAATTTCGTGGTTTTCCATAAACTGAAACTTTGAAGACCAGATAATTTAACAGATATCGCAAATCGCGATGCGTTAATTCAACCCTTGAATAACACGGTTGCCATTATAAATGATACTCTGTAGTTAAGAGCCGTAGCCATTTTTAAAGTTCAAAAGTTTTTCGGACCTTCTCACGCATGCGTACCTAAACATAGCGCCTGTGAACGACCGTGTCGCAATTGTGCCAGTTTTTGCAACTGCTTTGCACTTATTCCTATTCGCACTCATTCAGTCGTCCCCGTTTTATTTCGAAAACGTAGTTTTAGTAGCCCTAGTTTTCAACATTATTTAAAGGAAAGACTATTACCGACGTATTTATAACTGAAACATGCTTCAAGCAACAGGAAGCAACATGTTCAAGCAACAGGAAGAAATTTCTTCTGATATAAATAAGATACAAAGTATACTTTTATTTTTAATTTGTCACAAATGTCACAATATGATTAAGTCATAGATTATCAAACAAATATTTATAATAGAAATATTATAACTTCATATAAATCATAATACAAACATCAATTTAAAAAAGACCATATTAATAAAACTTAAAGAAAACTTAACACAAATAAGTTAGTTAACACAAATTAAGTGCCCATAAAATTGATAATTATTTGATAAGTGCAATATAAGCCATTATTGCTGACCTCATAATGCATAATAACTTTTATTAAAATTGCTATTAAACATTTACCACTTGTACTGCTATCATTCAAAGTAGTGTGTATGGAGGTGTCATTTTTTTTTAATTTTTGACTGTTTTTTGTTTTGAATTTCTTCCATTTAACTTATTGTAAAATCTTTAAATTTTTTTATTTATAAAGTTTTTATATTCAAATTAAAAATGAACGCTCTAACATTTCCTTTCAATAAAACAGTAAAAAAAAAACAAAACATATTTTCAAAAAAGACATTCATATAATTACAAAATTATTATCTATAAATAAATTTCCATATTATAAGTAGCAGAAAGAGTTGCTTAATGTCTGTTGCATGAACATCAAATCTACGGTGTGTGTGTGTGACAGCCATCTTTCTACATCTGCTTTGTTTTTGTAGTTAATGTTGTTGAGTCACAAAATGCTAAAAATCAATGATTATCATGTGCTTATAACAGAAATATTATATATGTGTACATATGTTAATATACATATACATATCATGGCCAACAACACAGGTTTCAAAGTGGAGAAGCACAACCCTCAATTTTTAAAAAAAGTCTTCTATATCTAGAATTTTCTAACAAATATTTAAAATTTTTTGAAAATTATCAAAAAAAGTCGAAAAGGAGAAAGGGGCATATACCACCACCGACTGAGTCATCCACTCTGCATATGCATATAAATATATATACATATATGTATATATATACAGTCTTCTCTATTTGAAATTTACCTTGCATAAGAGCTGGCCGGAAAGTAATTATTTGTCTTGCGTGCATGATTTTAAGAAATATTTGTTATTTGTACCTCTTGAATCAAAACTCGATTAAGAAAAAAGATTTGCTGCAATTTAAAAACACGATTGAAATTTTTTGGTGAGCGCTAAAAAAGCGCCAGCCATACTATTGGTCGGCGTGTGGACGAGTGTAAAACTGCAAAAGCGCTCATCAAAGGAAGAAACTGCAAAAGCGCTCATCAAAGGGAAAAGACTGTTCATATATATATATATATACACTATAGCATATATTTATGTAACAAATTGCTACCATATTTTCGTTACTTTAATTAGAAAATGAAGAATTAGAAATGAAAAGACTGCTGCCCCATACCAAAGCCATAGTCAATTTTACAAAATAAAGTGCTCAATGTTCTTAAAAGAACAGAGCAATTATAAATAAGTAGAAAATTACTTGGCAAATTTTTTTTCCATTAAACACTGTGTTTCATCAATAAAGACTCATCAGAAAATTCTGATAAGTTTTTCTGATGAGTCATTGATAAAACACAGAACTAAATTAAAAAAAATTTTGCCAAGTGATTTTCTACTAAATTATATATATATATATATATATATATATATATATATATATATATATATATATATATATATATATATATATATATATATATATATATATATATATATATATATATATATATATATATATATATATACACAGTCATGTGCATGAAAATAGCAGTGGGAGAAAATTATTTATAAAATACATTTAATTTTTTTACTGATGGTTAATTTTGTATATTTTATTTTCTAAATATTTTCTGTTAGGGTTTTTAAATATAAAGAGGTTGGCAATATTGCTGTTTATACATACATGTATCAGAATTTAAATTAAATTATAAAATTTTGCTTTATTAACTGTGCGTTATAATAGCAGTGAATATACACTTTATTTTCTATTAGTGCCTTAAAAGTTGTTTTTACCATCAATTTTTTTATACATTAAGGTAAGTGTTTGTTTATTAAAATTAAACGATATTTTATTAAGTTTCACAATTTTATTACAGTTAAAATGGGTAGACCAAAACATTGTTCCAATGAGAAGCGTCAATTAATTTTAAATATGTTAAAAGATGGTAAAACTTACAAATTCATCCAAGATGCTTTACAATGTTCTGCAAAAATGATTTCCAATGCCAAAAAATGGACACAAAAAGCGGAATTGCGTGGGGGAAAATTTAAAACGTCATTGAAAACGAACCGTAAATTTATTAGATGTGCGAAGATAAATCCTTTTATGAGTTCCACAGCCATAAAAATCGTCCTCGACAGTGAGAAGACGTTTGATAAAAGCCAATTTAAAAGTCAGAAGGCCCAGAAAAACTCCACTTCTAAATAAGAGACAGATTAAAAATCGAATCGCATTTGCTAAAGAGCATCAAGAATGGCCATCATCGAAATGGCGTAATATTCTTTGGAGTGATGAGACTAAAATTGTTTTATTTAATCCAGATATTCACGAAAAGTTTGTACGAAGACCCCCACGAACAGAATATAATATAAAGTATACCACCAAGACAATAAAACATGGTGGCTGCCAGGTGATGGCATGGGGTTGTTTTTCTTGGTTTGGATTGGGCCCTATTTTTTGGATCAAAGACATCATGGATGCAACTGCTTATGTTAAAATACTGCAAGAAGTCATGTTACCATATGCTAAAGAAGAAATGCCTTTGAAGTGGATCTTTATGCAGGATAATGATCCTAAACACACCTCTCGTAAAGCTAAAAATTGGTTTGTAGAGAATAAGGTTAAGGTAATGAACTGGCCAGCACAATCCCCAGACCTGAACCCGATAGAAAACCTGTGGGGGGATGTTAAAAGAGCAGTATCTTTGTCTAGACCAGCCAATAAAGAGGAACTCTGGAGAGCAGTTGAAGCAGCTTGGAGAGCTATTCCCTTAGAAAGATGTCGTCATCTAATCGAGTCAATGCCACGAAGATGTAAAGCAGTATTGAAAAATAAGGGTCATGGAACTAAGTATTCATAACTATTTATTCATCTTTTGAAAATACATATAGATGTATTTTCAAAAGATGAATAAATAGTTTTTCATCAATGTTATATTTTATTTACTTTTTTAATGGTAAATCTACATTCATTAAATGTGATAAAAGTACTTTTTTAAAAAAAATGGTAGTATGATATTGTCCATTTAAGTTTTAAAGCTTTTTTTAAGACTAAATAGTGTCAGATAACACTTAATTATGAAAAATTAACAATTACGGTCCGAAATTATGCATATCATTAAATTTAATAAGGTTTTTTTATAATTTTTTGTGCCACTGCTATTTTCATGCACATGACTGTATATATATATATATATATATATATATATATATATATATATATATATATATATATATATATATATATATATATATGAAAACCATAGTTTAAAAACTTACAAGAACAATCTCCTGGAGTTAATTCAAAATTGGTGCTTTTAGAACTAAAATCTGTTTCATTACCTGTTGGAAAAATGCTATCTAAGTCATTGTGTGTGTGTGTATATATATATATATATATATATATATATATATATATATATATATATACATATATGAAAACCATAGTTTAAAAACTTACAAGAACAATCTCCTGGAGTTAACTCAAAATTGGTGCTTTTAGAACTAATATCTGTTTCATTACCTGTTGGAAAAATGCTATCTAAGTCATTGTGTGTGTATATATATATATATATATATATATATATATATATATATATATATATATATATATATATATATATACATATATGAAAACCATAGTTTAAAAACTTACAAGAACAATCTCCTGGAGTTAACTCAAAATTGGTGCTTTTAGAACTAATATCTGTTTCATTACCTGTTGGAAAAATGCTATCTAAGTCATTGTGTGTGTATATATATATATATATATATATATATATATATATATATATATATATATATATATATATATATATATATATATACATATATATAAATCATAGTTTAAAAACTTACGAGAACAATCTCCTGAAGTTAACTCAAAATTGATGCTTTTAGAACTAATATGTTTCATTACCTGTTAAAAAAGTGCTACCTAAGTCATTGTGCATATTTACATCATTACTAAAAGATTCATTATCAAAGTCATTTTCCCTACTATCAATACTGCTATTATCAAAGTCTATATATTTGGATAAAGATTTTTTCATTTCTGACGAAAGTTCCATTCCATATGCTAAATTCTCTAAAATCTTTGTAAGTTTTTTTTTTTTCTCTTTATAAAATTTATTTTTTTTTGGAAATTGCGTATTTTCAAAATAAGCCATTAATGCTTCAAAGATTTTTACGTTATTTTTTGAAAAAACATATTCAAAAAAAACGCCTTTTCTATACAAAATATTAATATCATCGAAAGCATCTAAAACACCTTGCACTTGATCAATTTTATTCCAACCAAGATAATAAAATAAAATATCTGTATCCATTTTTCGTAATATTTCTAAAGATTATGCGCTGCCCTTGAATAATACGCTAGCAAGATTATTCTAGTTGAATTCACGTAAAATTACATTAACTTATAGATAAGGAAATAAATATTGGTCTGTCTGCTTGCGCAACGAATTGTGGGATGTGCTGCGCAAAATAACACTTCATAAGGAAATGCAAGTACGTAAATTTAATTAAGTTAAAACATCTGTTACGTCGTTGGAATTTTGGTCCGCGAAAACTTTTATCCCGGAACAATATTTTTGTTGAAATTTTTGGTCCGGCCGGATATATTTTCAGGTCCACTTTGAAAAATATTGTCCGTGATAATATTTCAAAAATTGCGTACAAATTTTGCAGTTTTGAAAACTATATATATATATATATTTTTTTATTTGCATTCACTCCCAACAAGGCTTCAAGCAACCACTATTAAGTTGGGAGTTACTAGGAAAAAAAAAAAAGAACAGAGTTATAGAGCAAGAAAACGGTTGACAGAAGACTTGAAAAGTTGAAGGTTGTATGAGTCAGGAAAACATGAAGATGGGAGAGAGTTCCAAAGGATTGAAGTGCGGGGAAAAAAACTAGATGAATAAAAGTTTTTAGAGCATGCAGGGACAGATACAGTAAACGAATGAGACTTAGCTGAATGACGAGTAAAACGAGAATGAATTTTAGTTGATGGAACTAGAGATGATAACTCCTTTTAGCAGTGACCATGATAGTATCTGTAGAAAAGAGAAAGAGATGCAACTTTACGACGATGGGAAAGAGGTTCAAGCTTAGCAGATAGTCCAGGTCCAACAACATTTACAATATGTTTTTGGACCTTGTCAAGAAGAGAAAGTGAATCGTTAGAAGAACCAGCCCAAATATGACAACAGTATTCCATACAGGGACGAATAAGAGATTTGTAGAGGTAGAGAATGGAATCAGAAGTAAGGAAATGGCGAGCACGATAAAGAGAAGCAACCTTAGCAGAAGCTAATTTAGCAATTGATTGTATATATGGTTTCCATGAAAGGTCAGTAGTAAGCGATAATCCAAGAAGACGTAAAGAGGAGGACTCAGTAAGAGGATTGCCATTCATTAATATAGGAATGTTGACCATATTACGGTAGTTGTTTGCAGTAAGCAATTGGGTTTTTTTAGAGTTGAAATTCACAAGCCACTGTGAACCCCAATCTATTACTGAAGTGAGATCAGATTCAAGATCAGCTGCTTGTTCTAGGCGATCGAAAAGAGAAGACTTTTTGTCAAGACAGGAGTATAAAGTTGAGTCATCAGCAAAAAGAGCTACTTTAGATGAAAGGTTTTCAGGAAGATCGTTTATGTAGATAAGAAACAAAACAGGGCCCAGGATGGAACCTTGGAGAACCCCAGAAGTTACTGGAAATAAAGAAGAGTGTTGGCCTTCAAGGATGACTTTAATAAACCGGTTAGAAAGAAATGATTTGATAATCTCAAGAACTTTCCCAGAAACACCATATGAAGCAAGCTTATGGAGAAGACCAGCATGCCAAACTTTGTCGAAAGCTTTAGATATGTCGAGAGCAATAGCCCTAGCCTCACCGCCTCCATCTAATGCACGATAAAATCTTTCAGTTACAGCAGTTAGCAAGTCGGCCGTAGAGCGTGAGGATCGAAAACCGTATTGATTGTCTGACAGCAGTTTATTTGACTCAAGATGAGATGTGAGGAATTTGTTGATCAAAGACTCAAAGACCTTGCTAATAACAGAAAGAAGACTGATCGGACGATAATTGGAGGGGTCAGAATTTTCTCCAGAGTTTTTGAATATTGGAACCACAGATGCCATTTTCCAACAAGCAGGAAAACAAGACTCAGTCAAACACTTGTTAAATAGTTTAGAGAGAATTGAAGAAAGTTCTGGAGAACAATTCTGCAAGACTGTGACAGGAATGTTGTCTGGACCACAAGCTGTAGACGAGTTTAATTGAGATATGACTTTAGCAACAGACGCCGGAGTGATTTGAATGTCTAACAATGGGTCAACCTGTTTGACTGGAATGGAAGGAAGAGAATGTCCATAAGATTCAAGAGTGGAATTAGAAGAAAAGTTCTTTGCAAACAGTTCTGCCTTATCCCTGGGAGAGGTAACAAGATCAGTCCCATGAATGAGAGATGGAATGTTAGATCTACCCTTGTTAACAATGCTGTTGAAGATTTTCCAAAAGTCTTTAGAGCCTAACTTCTGCGATAAGATGCGAGATTTAGTGAACTGAGAATAATGGAGTTTAGCATCAGAAAGCACCTTTTTACATCGATTTCTTGCAATAATAAATAGCTGTTTGTTCTCAAGAGAGTTGTTCTTTTGAAAAAGATGAAAAAAATGATTACGATTGGATATAGCAGCCGCACAAGAAGGAGAAACCCATGGAGTAGAATGAGGTTTGACTTGAAACCGACGAGAAGGAATAAAAGCTTCCATTCCAGCCTGAATCCAGGAGGTTACGTAGGAGGCGCATTTGTCAGCTGAGAGAGAAAAAACATCAGCCCAAGGACCATCACGAAGAAAATCACGAAAGGAATCCCAGTCAGCTTTAGGGTAGTAGTAGGTGGTGCGATGATAAGGTGAGCCCAAAAAAGAAGTACGAGAAGAAAGATTTATAGAGATCATTGCATGGTCAGAACCACCTAAGGGGGAAAAGGGAGAAACTGAACATAAGCTAGGGTCAGAGACAAGACATAAGTCAAGGAGTGAAGGTAAATGATTAGGGTTGTCAGGAAAACGAGTCACAAAGTTAACAATCTGAGTAAGAGATTGAGAAACACAGAAGTTAAAGGCTTTAGTGCCAGCAGGATTAGTGGTGTTAGAGCCAAGCCATTCAGTGTGATGGGCATTAAAATCACTAACAACAATAATATTGGCAGAGGGGTAAAGAGAGAGGGCATGGTCAATTTGATCAGAGATAACATCTAAAAGAGTGCAATCATGGGAAGAAGGAGAACGATAAAGGACAAATAGAAAGGTGATAGAGTGAAAAGGTGCTAGGCGAAAGCACATAAAAGAATGGTCAAAGGATTCGAACCTGATTTCACGACAAATAGGGGAATTAATGCGTATGTATACCCCTAAACCTAGCATGTGACTATTGGAGTCTTTACGAATCAAAGGATAGTACCCATCAACACTGAAATCTGAAGATAGAATTGCAGAACTTAAATTTGTTTCACTGAGTGCAAGCAAGTCTGGTGAATTTTGCAGGAGGTAAGACTCAACTGATAAAAAGTTGCTTCGTAGACCGCGAATATTTGTAAAAGATATATCAAAATATTTAGGTGGTGGGGATGGTTTTTTAGGTTTTAAATTTTTGGTTACTTTGGTCATGATTTGGGTTTAATGAGAACTTGACTCATTCATAGATAGAGCACAGCCTCCTAATCCATGAGCTATGCAGTTGTCTCAGTCCTGTTAATTAACCCTAAGCCGTGACATAGGGCTCCTTATGTGGCCTTGACAATGCACACCAAAAGCATTAACAGGGACACCATCCATGCGCAACATGGCACTGTTAATACTCCGATATTTTGCAGCTGTTGATGGAATCAGCTTCTCTGAGAGCTACCAAAGAGTTCGGGAAACCTTACTACCAGCCGGCCTCAGAACCATTAAACTGAGTTTTAGAGCTGTACCCTCGTATGGAGATAACAGGAAGAGTTGCATAGCCATTATCAAGGAGGCATAAGCAAAATTCTATGAGTAGAGTCAAGGAGATCCAGCATTCATCATCCTAGGCAGGAAACAATGTAACACAGGTTACATCTACGCCAGCCTAATAGATGAAGAAGGGGTTCGAGGCTGGTTAGCAGAATTTTTCTGCTTACCCCTAAAGTCTTTGCCTAGGAGGCCTTCTACAAGACAGTAGCAGGATGCAGTTAACATCTGCCCAAGATGAGTATTTTTATCGAGACACCATCTCTAGCCTTTACTCAACCAAGAGCCCCAAGGCAGGGGATGTTTAGCTGGATGCAGTTAACATCTGCCCAAGATAAGTGTTTTTATCGAGACACCATCTCTAGCCTTTACTCAACCAAGAGCCCCAAGGCAGGGGAATTTTTGGTCGGAGTTTATTTCTCTTAGCATAAAAAGAGCACACTCTGCAAGGCAGCAGGGCTTGTGGCAGGTGGTACTGGGTTACGTGATACCAGTAGCAAGATTGATCTCGATTATCCTGACCTGACCTGGAATATATATATATATATATATATATATATATATATATATATATATATATATATATATATATATAGATTTAAGAGTGGATTCTATATATATATATATATATATATATATATATATATATATATATATATATATATATATATATATATATATATATATATATATATATATATATATATATATATATATATATATATATATATATATATATATATATATATATATATATATATATATATATATATATATATATATTTGGTCCGTGTAAATCGGTTTTTGATTTTTTAACTTAAATTTATAAATTGATAACAAATTTAGACATAATAAATGCAAAATAGTAAAATGGATATGATAATAGTTTTTAAACAAGTTGTTAAATCTTTTTTTAGGTTTTATGAAATCAATTTTTCCAAAGAATAATGGTTGACTCATTCATATTCTATGATTTTTCGTGGCTTTTTCATAATTAATAGATAAAATTTGTATATATGATGCATAGACCGCATAAATGCATACACCCGGCATAGTCACATTTTGTTGTACTCTTCGATTTTAAGGGCTTTGAATGTCTGCTTATATAAAATCCGCGTCTAGGAATAATGTTATGACTACACTACCATTATAGTAGAGCTTGATTTGATGTTTAAGTTTGTCTGAAAGCTTCTCGATTGGGATGGCTCTTTTACTTACTTTTTTTTTTACTTAGGGTAAACTGACCAAATTCGAGCCAGTGACCAAATTCCAGCCACATTTTTAAATTTATTATTTCTGTCTTGTTTTCTGCTTTATGTTTGTAAATGCTACTTTTTTGAGACTGGTATGAATTCAGCCAATAAAAAAAAGCATTGTTATAGTTGGCGGCTGTTTATAATAGAAGTAACATCATAAAAAATATTTATCTCAAAAAAGTACTACTTTATATTTAAAATATCATGTAAGCATCCAGTTTGAAGCTTATAAATATTAAATACTTATTACTTAACGAAATGTTAATTATTTTAAACTATAAATATATTTCTTAAAAAGACAATTTTAGCTTTATAATTATGTTGAGTCATTACTATAGATTGTATTTCTTAATTAATTGCACCTGGTAGAAAGACCAAAATCCGGCCAGGTATAAACCTTATTCCGGCCAAGGCCGAAATTAGGTTCGCGAGTGTCTAAAAGTAATTCATACTTGTATGATATTTATATTATTAGATTTTATTCTTTTAATATAAGTACTTTATGTTACATTTATGTCCTAAAAGTTATCAATCTTAAATATTTGCATTTATTTAGTTAAATATTTATATAATATTTTTAAAATTTGAGGATGATGACTTAAAAATAAACAAAAGTCTAAATAATTGAAAGATATTATATTGTTTCATGTAAATTATTACTTATAAATGAAACTATATTAAAAAATAATCTTTAATTGAAAATTTTAATAATTTATTATATAAAGTTTTCATTTTAGAATGGCTGATAATAAAAATAAAATTTATAATAAGAAACAATGTCATCCAACTCGAGGTAAATATATGAAATATAAAGAGGAAGTGTTACTTGAAGCTATAAACAGTGTTATTAGTTCACCTAAAATGTCTGTTAGAGCTGCTGCTAAATTTTTTAAAGTACCCCGAGCAACTTTGCAGAGCAGGATAAATGGAAAAGTTGAGATTGGTGCAAAAGCAGGAAGAAAAAGTTTAATGCCGCTTGATCTTGAAAAAAAGTTACTTGATTTTGCAGACAACAGAGCTAGGATGGGCATTGGTTTTGGAAAAGAACAATTCTTGGTATATGCTGGCAAGCTTGCCAAAAAATATGGATATTCTTTTAAGAATGGCAAACCATCTAATAAATGGTGGCGACTTTGCGTAAATGTATTTATTATTTAAAAATTAAGGAGAGAAAGTTTAAGCTTGTCCTGAATTATCGGGGCTATAACACCATGCCTTGAAGAATAGGGAGCCCCGAACATTTTCAGAGGACGCTTTAATTTTGTAAAGATTTGATCCCACTTTGATACTAAAAAAGTCCACCTGCTCAAGAATATCCTTTGACTCTAAAAGTCTTGGTTTAAACAACTACGGTACTTTTATATTTAATTATTTTGAGATTTGAGCGGCCGTGGCGCAGTGGTAGTGCACTTGCCTCAGAAACAAAGGATCCGTGGTTCAAACCCCATTTCTAGGAATGCTTTGCGACATCGGTTAGGAAGAAGGCGTGAACTTTCAATTAAATGCTCATCAGTGGTGCTCTGTGCGAAGACCGTAAGGACTTATAAAAAACTTTAGAACTTTTCACGTAAATATCTTTATCTGCATGTAGTATCAGTGGCCTAGCTACCGCAATGGCAGTATAAGCAAAACTTACGGTCCCACAAACAACTGAACCTAGAACCGCAAGGTTTAGGAGATATATTTAAGATATATTTAAAGAGTTTTTTTTTGTTTTTTTTTTTAAAAAAGTTATTGTTCCAGAGAAACAGAAATTAGGCACCTTGGTCACGTAAGCCTGGATACAAAATACCCTAAACATTTACCATCTCTACTCTAAATGTGAGGGCAACAAATTAGTAATGATTTTTTTAAAAGGTATAATTTTGTAAAGTTTACACCTTCACCTAATGAGGTGGTTGTTCCAATCTTTTTCTAAACATTCTCATGTGATAAGCAAGAACAAACTAATGTTTGGCACTTAAGCATGTTTTTATTTATACCACAATAGAGCATAATATTTAAGATAATTTAATATTATGTATTATAATACAAAATGTTATAAAAATATTTAAAATTTAAACTATTATGAAAATATTATAACACTGCCAAAAATATACTAAACAGGTGCACTTTTGGATATATAAGTTGTGCTAAGTTTGATCGATATAATGTACTTTGGTTCAATACCATTGTCATATTACCAATTATTTTGTAATAGTTTATTTTATACATGAGATTTAAATTGCTGTTAGTAATTATTTCAACCAAAATTATTGCGTTTTAATAATTATAATATATTATAATTAAAACCATATTTTGTCTCAAAAATTTACTTACGTAAATTTTGAGACAAAATTTACTTATGTAATGTTAATATAATTATTAAAGACATCATTATATTAATAGTTATTCATAAAGTCTTTAAATGAGTTTAATGTGGTTTTTAACAACACATTAAAAAGTTCTCAGAAAACCTCATTTGTACGCAACTATACAATAATATTATTAGTTAAAGAAAAGGCTGTTGATTAATTAATTGTAATTGGTTTGTTGATAAAAGAAATCGTTGCATGTTCAAATTGTAAAGCTTTTTTTACATTGCTGCATAATACTACGCAACACCACTCGTATTTAAATCAATTTAAAATTAAATCGTGTTTTTTGTTTAATAAATTTTTTGATGATTAATATTTTTTATAACACCTTTATTTTTATATGTTTAAAAAAAAATTATTCAAAACACCCTGTTTTAGAAAGTTACATTAGAAAAAAAGTTCTCTGTAAGTAAAGTGCCAATTTAAACGCCCTTTGGTGTTTTAGCTACTTACATACTAATTTTTCAGGTAGTGGAAGTTGGGGTACAGTAGATCGAGGGGCACAGTGAATAAGAGTCATTTTCTCAAAGATTAGAATTTTATTCATCTTAGTAATGTAATCATTTTATGTGCTCATATGTCAGCCGTCTTTATTTATAGTAGTTACCACAAAGTATTTGACTACCGGTTTTGGTAGGTAATTTTTGTTTTTAGCTAACTAAAGTAAATTTTCTTACCTTCCTTATGTTTGTTAAGGAGATTATGGTTAAAATAATTTTAAAAGTTGAAGTTTTTCATTCGGATTATTGATATTTCCTTTTAGTAGTTTAGCTTTTCTTTTAACAACACTCATGTTCCAATAAATTAGACTTAAACTAAGTTTGTTATGAAAGGGCACAGTAAATCGGGGTACAGTGAATAGGTTAGTTCACTAATGTTCTTCAATAATTGATCTTAAAGATTAAATTCATGCATTTTTAACAATCAAACTACATGAAAATGAATTTATTAGTTTTAAGTTTTTAATAATAATATTTGAATAATTTTTTAATTTTTTAATACTTTTATAAGTTTTGTTATCAATAAAGTTCTTTTTTTACGTCTCAATTTTCAAAAGGTCTATTTTTACATTGTCTTTAGCCTTATATTTATTTGACTATGCCGCTAATCACTATAATTAATTCACAGCTGTGTTCATTGATTCACTGTGCCCCATTACTGGGGCACAGTGAATCAATGAACACAGCTGCACAATAACGTAACGCAATGAACACAGGGCACGTAACGCAATGAACACAGGGCACAATAACGTAACGCAACTCACTCTAAACCTTTCTGTGAGCCGATAGATAATAAATATTTGGGTTTTAGTAATTTATCATCATGAAAAACATTTATTTCAATCCTTTCGCCTTAAAAAAATAAAATACATATTTTAACTTTTGCTTAATTTAAAAAATAAAATCCGATCGACTGTGCTCTAACTTAACATATATTTCCAAAAGTAACCTGCACCACCACAATAGTTTCTACCTTAACCGGTCAGATCTCACTGGGTGATGACAAATATACCAACTTATAAAAAAGCATAAATAGTAGTTCTACCAGTTCTTATCTAAGATGGCTACCCACTATTAAAAATCGCCAAATAAAATAAATACACTTTCTCAATTTTTTAAAGGTTTAACTTTATGCACAATCAAATGAAAAAAAATAATAATTTGATTGTTGTTTAAGGTCGAACCCTTATACAGCAATCAAGTTTGCCCTTACTTAATTCTCTTGTTGAGTTGAGTTTGAATTTGTTGAATTCCAAAAAATTACAAAAGTTACTAAAAAGAGTCTTAGCATCAGTTAAAAATTCTTTTAAGAACCTACAGATCTCGGTCTCGACATCAAAAACTAAGCTCAATTAAATACAGTTTTAAAGTTAGAAGAACAGAAAATGATGGAGAATTTAATGCCTCTTGTTCTTTTTTTAATGTATACTGTTTTTTAAAGGTTTTTATTTTGTTTTTGTTTTTGTGTTTTACTACATTTGAAATTTCCCTACTATCAATAAGTTGAAATTTTACAATCTTAGGGAGGTACGAGACACCCGCCCCTCAAGCATAACCCAGAAGTTGCGCACGATCTTACGTCTTTAAAGAAAAAAATAAACTTTTTATGTAAGCTAGTTAACTTGTCGTGAACTAGCATATATAAAAAATATTATCCTTTTAACAATGTACCAAATTGGACTTACACGTTTGGCTTCCCCGAAATTGAATGTGAGCATGTAGGTCAACTTAATTTTTATGACAAAAAAATTACAAAATTACAAAATTTTTATGACAAAAAATGACAAAAAAATCTTTGCGACAGAAAAGAAAGACATAAAAACGAGCATAAAAATTTTTTAAAAGATGAAACTTGATAGATCTTGTTATTTTCATTAAGCTCTTATTACTTTCACGTAATCCCTTCCCTAATAATATTATAATAATATATTCTAATATTTCTGAAAATTAATACTATTTTTCAAAAGTATAATTAACAGTTGTGTAAAGATCTTAACATTTGACTCCTCCAACAACTATTGCATAACCTTAATCATACAATAACGATTGTGTTGGGATTGTATTTGTATAAACAAAAGAGGGTTTTAGCTTTATAAACAGATAAAACTGTAATTAAATTTTTTAAAGAGAATACAATTATGTATAAAAAAATTTTTTTTTTTAAATAAATAAAAAGCTTGAAATCAATATTTGTCCTCCAGCCCTGTATTTTTTGCCGATGGCCCTATATACAAATATTTTTGTAATGACTTGCTTAAGACATCCTTACGGACACTTAAACTGCTGCTGTAAGCAGACAAATTGAAGTTTTAATTACAAAAAGTAGTAATTATTGGAATAAAGTCATTTCTTGTTCACAGTTCTTTAAATATTAAAACTTAACAACTACGCAAGTAGATGTCATAGTATTATTATTTCTTCATAAATATTACTCAAGATTACCTTCTCATAAACAATTGAATCACGCATAGCAGTAGTAAGTGGTATTTTTTTTCTTTTATATGCACATTTATTATACATGTACAATATTTGTTTATATGTATATTAGGGATGCGCCGAGCGTAAAAAATATCTTCAAACAGTACTTTTAAACAACTTTTTTTCAAGACATTTTTTACACTACTCCAAGATTAAAAAATTAGTAATGAAACATAAATAATGTAATAAATAAAAAAACATTAAAAACATAACAAATAAGGTAAAATAAAAAATAAAAATAAAAACATTAAAAATAGGGTAATTTTGGCAAGGTGATAATTTTAGCACCCCTTCAAAAGACACCTAAAATATTTATTTGTTTGGTTGTTCAAATCGTAATTGGGTATTGAAGCAAGGTAAACTATATTCCTAATAAATAAGGTTTCAACTTCTTTTTTTGTAATATAGGTACGCTGATTTATGATTATTATCTTTGTCTAAACATTTTTATCTTTTTCAAAATGATAAATAATTTTTTTTTTTATGAATTTGTAACAAAAAAATTTTATTTACCCAGCAAACAAAAAGATATCTAAAATGCATCTAATATGCATCTAAAAACTGGTCTAAAAGATGTCTAAATTCAGGTCTAGAACGGGACATAAATAGACGTCTATCTTATAGACGTCTTTTAGATGCATTTTATTCGACACAAATAATTGCCTTAGATGCATAAAAGATGTGAAATATACATCTTCCAGATGCATATTAGATGTATAAAATACGTCTCTTCAATAGATGTCTAAGGCGCGTTTAAAAAAGATAGATAATAGATAATTTTTTAGCTAATAATAGCTCTTTTATGCACCTAATATACATCTAATATACATCTTTAAATGTATATTTCACATCTTTTATGCATCTAAGGCATTTATTTGTGTCGAATAAAATGCATCTAAAAGACATCCATAAGATAGACATCTATTTATGTCCCGTTCACGACGTGAATTTAGACGTCTTTTAGACCAGTTTTTAGATGCATATTAGATGCATTTTAGATATCTTTTTGTTTGATGGGACTTGTTTAATACAAAGGCGTTACAGCGGTTAAATTAGTCATAAAAAAGGATTAAATTAAATAAGTAAAGAAACATTTTAACTAACATTACTTAATTTTTATTTCACAAAAATATACATAAAAAACTATATTTCTTCATTGCCGTCAACATTTTCTTCCACGTCGCCGATATCTAAAATATATACATTAATGACATTTAAATGACTTTAAAAGACATGTTGAATTCTGAATCTATTTTTATGAAATATTATATATATATATATATATATATATATATATATATATATATATATATATATATATATATATATATATATATATATATATATATATATATATATATATATATATATATATATATACATACAGTATCGGACAAAACCAGTGCAACCAAATGATGCTAATTCTTTGTATAAAAGTGCTGCATTTTTTCAATTTATAGAAATAACTATGTAACTGTTTGGAGACAACGTTCTTCAAATTTTATTTATTACAAAGTTCATTTTTTGTACACGAAAATTAATAAATTAATCAAAAATATTAAAAAAAGTTGATTTCATTCTGGACAAAACAAGTGCAACTCCACAAAATGTTGACCAAGCTGTATTTTGCTATCAATATCTTGTGGTGAACCCTTTGTTGTCGATCACAGCCTTGCATCTTTAAGGCATAGATTCGATCAGGTGATCAATGAAACTTTGTGGAATCGCTGCCTAGGCCTTTTGGATTTGTTCAAACAGTTCATCCTTATTACGAACACATTTATGATTAACTCTGCAGTTAACAATCTCCCACAGGTTCTCGATTGGGTTGAGATCCGGAGATTGAGGCAGCCAATTTATCACCAATAGATGGTTGTCTTGAAACCACTGCTTGACTACTTTTGCAGTGTGTTTGGGATCGTTGTCTTGCTGAAAAACCCATTTTATTGGTATATTCCATTCGGCATGAGGTAACATAACATCTTTCAGGATATTTTTATACATGAAACGGTCCATTATTCCATTGATTCGATGTATTAGACCTAGACCGTTAGCAGAAAAACACCCCCAGACCATTACATTGCCTTCACCATGCTTCACGGTCTTATGGCAGTAACGTAAATCAAGGCGTTTTCCGGCTGCTTGACGTACAGACAGCTCTAATTGCTTTTGTATCTCAACTGATGATATCCAGGGATCCTTTTTGACAGATCTGACGATCATAGAATTCTCTCTAGAAATGGTGGAACGAGGTCTTCCACCATTGTTATCTGCTGCCAACTTCCCTGTGGAACAATATTTGGAACATAGTCTTGATACGATCTATTTTTTCACACGATATTTATCACAAATACTTTTTTGTGACATTCCACTTAAGTAATCGCAAATAATTTTCTCTCTTAGTTCCAATCCAAGACTGTCGGAAACCATTTTTGCACTTGAAGTCATAAAAATAATAAAAATAAATAACCACACTTCTCAAAGCTTACCGTGTTACATTTACCTTGTGATGATAAAATATGGCTCTGTGGAACATAACGTCTTGGTTGGATGTGGACTGTATTGATGTAATGAAACACTTGTTGTATTTCACTTCTGGTATTGATGTTCTTCGATAAAACACTTTGATAAAACTCACTTCGATAAACTGTCTTGATAATACTGACTGATTGACTTCCATATACTGACTGAATTACATGTCTCTTATATAGTAAAATGAACCTGTGTGAACCTGTTCTGGAAGATTTTAGATGCTTCTTTTCAATACTTCTGGAAGCTTCTGGATGCGTCTGAATGCTTCTAAATAATTCTGGATGCTTCCAGATGCTTCCTGATGCTTCTTCTGGAAACTTCTGGAAGCTTGTGCATGCTTCTGGAAACTTCTGGATACTTTCTTTAATTATTAAAAAACTCCCGTGACGTTGACACAGACCAGACTTGAGAAAATGAAACAAACCAAAAAAGTTGCACTTGTTTTGTATACTGCAAAATGGCACTTGTCAACGAAATTCTGCCTGTGTGCTGTCACCTGTCAGCTGATTGCTCATATCATGGCATGCTATGACTCCAGACTCCTGAACTGTTTGCTGTGGTAGTATAGTTCGTTTCATTTTTAAGACATAAAATTAGGAACACTTTTTAGCATTGTTCGATGTTAGTTGCAAATGTTTTGTCCAATACTGTATATACACATATATACATGTATATATATATATATACATATATATATATATATATATATATATATATATATATATATATATATATATTAGGGTGGAGTAAAAACGTGAAAATTTTTTTTTTTTGATTTGCTTGACTTTGGATAGTTATTAAAACTTGCTCTGTGATACAATCAATTACTCCGTAAAAAAAAAAATTAATTTAGGTAACGTCTTGAGGTTCCACAACCAACTTCAAAATTTAACCATTTATAAGCATTTACTATCCAGTATTTTTTTATTGTAGTTCACTTTTATACGTATTCACGTGCGTTTTTCCTGTCTAGAGTAAACAAACAGTGTTTATTGCAAAACATTTTATTCATATAAAATAATACTTTAATTCATTTATAATAACAATTCATATTTAATGGCTGTAACCAGGAAAAAAGTGTGTCATTTTTGATGCTCCCTCTGAAATGCCTGACGATCTACTACCTACTTATGCAGATGTTATGAAGTTTTACAATCTGACCAAACAGAAACTTAAATATGAATTGAACAATAAAGATCCGCCACATCACAATGTGGCAGAAAAAGTGAAAACAAAAGTGGAACAAATATGGGACAAAGCTTCTATATCACATGCAAGCCACCACCGTGTCCAAGAAATGTTGAACAAGTATCACAAGACGTTCATGAATTTGCTGAAGCCATATAAGTCTAGAAAAGACTCCGGACCATACCGAGAGAAAATATCTCAGTTTAAAAATGAATCCAAAAAACTCTTTGACATTTGCTCCTGCAAGTGTTCTTTCATATCTCAGTGTCAGTGTGAAAAGTCAAGAAAGATACCCGCAATTGAACGTGATTTTCTAGAAGATCAGCGGGGTCCACGAGGTATGATCATTGCTAAAGTTGATGAGGCCGAATCCATCAAATTGCAAAAACGATATATTCGTAAAGAGTTGACACAGAGGCAGATGTGCAGCAAATCTGACATTGATGACATCAGTGAGAAACAGTCAGATGTTTGTGAGGAGTTTTCTTCTACGGAAGAGAAAACTGATGCTAGCGATGACGAATCTGATGATGATTGTATGCCGGATCCTAATGAACAATTTAGAAAGTTGAGTGACAAGCAGATGAGAGTTAAGTTACCATCTCTGGCGTTAGCATGTGATTGACATGGTGTATCCGACAGGGCCGCAGCAGGAATCGCCAGTGCTGTTCTTCAAGATGTTGGAATAATCCACAAAAGGGATGTTTCTAAAGTGATTGACAGAAAAAATGTGGAACATTATGTGCCAATGTCAGTAACACAATCACTGGGCTATATTTTGATGGAAGAAAAGACAGTACAATAACCTTTATTAAAGAATGTGATGGGAAATTTCATCGAAAACTAACAACTGAAGAACATATATCCATTATATCCGAACCAGGATCCATCTATTTTGGCTACATTACACCAATTGCAGGGTCAAGCAAAGTTATTGCGGCTGAGTTGATTGCATATTTGAGTAAAAAGAATGTTGACCTGGGTGGTATAAAAGCTGTAGGTTGTGACGGAACCGTTGCTAATACAGGCAATCGAGGAGGTATCATTCGATTACTTGAAGTGGCGTTGAACAAACTGCTGCAATGGTTCGTATGTCAGCTACATGCTAACGAATTACCGTTAAGGCATTTGTTGGAACATCTAGATGGACCTACCAATGGTCCAAAAGGATTTTCCTGTCCAATCGGAAAATCATTGGTGGCATGTGAGAAGCTTCCCGTTGTCAAATACACACCCATAAACTGTGTTCTACCGACAGGTTTAAATTCTGACGATTTA